AACAAGTCCCAGCGGATGAATCCCCAACAAATCATAAGCCCGAAAGGCGCCACCTATTCCATTAAAGAGCGAGATGACCAACAGGTTTGATTCCAACGGGCCCTCACTTCGCTGGAGTACGGAGCAGTAGGATTTTCCAGACCAGCTCAGCCCTTTAGAAACACAAACCGCTCCTCCTCGTTCAGAAGCGTCAGTGGCCACAACCTCTGAGCGCAATGTTCTTCGAAGGTTGCACGACGCCAAAGGGCTCAGCAAAACTGCCATTACCAGCTCCAACCCAGCACGCCCGGGCAGCCAGGGAGCAGCCCGGTACGGCAGCTTGCCACAAGTCCGAAAAGACAGCAAACAGTGGTCTGCGGAACTGAGCGATGAATGCCCAACGGCCCCCTAAAACCTGTACTCTTCTGGAAGTAAGGCGCTTCGACAGCAAAGCAACTGCCAGCGAACACACTGCCGTCTTCCAGAGCCGGGCCGTTCCACCACTAACCTTGCCAAGTTCCCCGTCAATTTCAGCGCCCAGCTCATGGGCCACTCCTGCGGCCTCCACATCCTTGTCCATAGCACAAACAATGCCGAAGCTTTCCCATCCTGTGTGCGCGTGATCAAAGAACACCCTACCGTCCTTAGCGGGTTTCCCAGGACCCACAACTTCACACGAGATGAAGTTGTCCAGGTAGACTTGCCACCAACCATGCTCGCCACCACGGCGCCAACACTCCGCCAGCCACCATCCGATCCTTCCGAACCTCATGCGTCTCAGGGAGCCTGGACTCCAACAGCACTCTTCGGCTGAGGCACTGCATTATGCCCACAGCAGACTTCCAGCCCATGGGCAGAGTACAACAGGCAATAGTGTACCGGACATCGGTTGGAAGTCCAAGGTCGCGCCCCGATAGATCAAAGTTCAAACAGAACCAAGGAAGCCACACATCAGGTAAAGCGAACAGGTAGAAGGCACAAGCCATGTCACACTGGTAGGCCAGCAAATTCTCGCCGTCGCCCAGGATGATAGACTGCCATTTCGTGATTGACGGCAGGCAGTTGATATGCCCGCCAATGACCGTTTGAGTGCGATTGCTCGGTATCAAGTTGATAATCGTCCTGAGGATGGGCCTGCCATCACTTAAGTATTTAGGTTTCGGCACGCCAAACAACCCGTTGAGGACGGGCTTCCCTTGGAACCGCCCGACTTCGCTCCTCCGGATTGGCTTACAAACCCCCCTATCAACCAGAAGCCTAGCAGGAGGCAATGCTGCCTCCATCTGATCCACCGTCAACGGCCTCATCGGCAGAACTTCTTCACCCGAATAGCTTAGCACAGCAGCGTCAACCTCACGTATCAGCTCAGAAGGCAAGACCTCTACTGACGAGCCAGGATCCCTAGCCAAGAACGACTGAACTTCAAACCTAAGGAGTTCCTCAACTTCACGGTTGCCACCAGCCTTTCTCTCAGGGCACGGCGACTTAGGGAAGGCTCCGAACCCTCCAAAGCCAGTTTATGGCACAAACTACACAAAAGTACCAAGCATCCTGCACAAGCTCAGTGTCAAAAGAAACGTCACCCCACTTTGAGCCACGCAGACTCCACACTTTACAGCTGGGGCCAACTTGCACGGGCAGAAGCGATCTGTGCTTAGCCGACCACTCCTGAGGACTGCGACCCTTCCCCCAACAGAGGCTCCAGAAACTCACCAAGCGCAAAAGGCGTCATTCAAAAAGCCCCATGCAAGCCAGAGCTCTAGAGAATCAAAGGAGCTAGGCCAGCCGCCAGCTTCCTCATCTGGCGCGTGGATCCCGCCCAGGCCACCCGAAGGGGACCCCGGCACGGACCCACAGCCCACTGGGAGAGGCGCGGCAGCGGCCTGGCAAGGCGGAGCTCACTTCTTTGCCTTCTTGGAGTCGGGTTTCTCCTTTTCTTTCTCCGTCTCCTTCTCCTTGTCCAAGGTTTTCCACCAGCTTTTCCCCTTCTTGCCTTTTCCTTTTCCTTTCCCCTTCCATGGGGTTGTCCAGCTTTCTTGATCTTCGAATCCTTTGCCTTTTCCGCTCAGGAGGTCCAACCCTGTTCGGATTTTGCCACAAGGCGGGCATGTTTTTGCGCTGCAAGAAGGGTTTCCGGTCGCGCCAGGTTGCCGGAGTCCATTGTTTCCACTTCCAGAAACTTCGCGGTACTCCAGCTGCTGCTGGAGGCCGCAACCTCGAGCGCCATGATGCGCCCGGAGAGGGCATCGGCCACTTCGCTGATCCTCCCTTGCTGCATGAGATCTGAGCATGGGACCAGAGATACATTTCGCGCAGGTCCCTTGACCGGCTTGCAAACCTGTCCTTCCAGAAAAGCCGGAAGAACAGGGACCTCGCCCTCCACCCGGGAGCTGGAGCTCCCCCGACTCTCTCCAGCCTCCCTCGCGGAGGCTCCTCCATCACTGCCCCAGCTCCTTCTCGTCCGACGTGGCGCTGCTCGAGCGAGTGGACCTGCTTGAGTCGCTTGAGTCTTCTCCTTTGTCTCGTTTCTTTTTCTTTTTCTTTCCTTTTTTCTTTCCCTTTTTCTTCTTCTTCCGACTCATCTCCTCGGATCCAGATCGTCTCAGCTCCAGACTGCGAGCCACGATACGATCCTCCAAAGAATCCTTTGCAAGGGTCCGCCGTCGCTTTCGCCTCCTCCCTGACTCTGACTGGCTTTCCACTTCAACCACCTCCTGCTTGACAGGTGCTTGGACACAGGCCATCCTGTCTGTCAGGGCAGGAGGTCCCCTCTCCAGTTCCACAGACTTCCTTGCCTGTCCAAAGCGCCTGTCGGAGAATCGACCCTGGCACGCCTGGCGGCTCCCCAGACCAGCCCGGTTCTTCAGCTCCTCCAGCTTCTCGAAGAAGCCCATGTTCCGAGCCCCCAACCCCGATTCGGGGACGGCAGCTGGCTTCTGGCTTTCTTCCAAAGCTGGGGGCCTCCTACCAGAACGCTTTTCCTTCGGTTCTGTGGCCACGTTCTTTTGCGGCGCTCTGCTCTTGCTCTTGAAGGCCACATTGAACTCCTTGAGGGCCCTCATCCCATGGGTCGCGCACAGGGCCCCCTCGTACGCAAGAGGAGGGTACACAATCAAGTCGTCCACGTGCACCACGCCCTCCTCGGAGTGCACCTCGCACAACCTCCTTCCCGTCAAACACAAATGATCGCACATTGAACAGCCGACCAAGTTCTCGGCGCCGATCCGGACTGTCATTCGTTCCCAGATAGCGCGCCGAGCACAGCCTTTCGCCCAGCTTGGCGGAGATGGCCAGGGCCGCAACCGGACGTGGGTCCCCACCTGGCAAGGGCTCTAAAAGCGCTTCGATGACAGCACCATCCTGGAGCTCGAGTGAACCGGGAGTCTCCCAGAGAAAGGCAGTCCGGCTTTCCAGATCGTCCTCTCCAGCCTCCCCTCCATTCCCTTCGGCACCATCGACCTCCTCCCCATATGGGGCACTTTCGTCCGCCATCACGCAAGACGATCTCGCCAACGTGAAGTCAAGGTCCGCGTGAGACAACCTCCTGTGACTCAGAGCCCCTTCCGGCTTCCGAGTCACTTGCTGGTGCTTGCGCCCGCTGCGGTGCCGCTTGTCTTTCTTCTTGTTTTTCTTTTTCTTAGATCCGGCCCTCACAGTCTCCACCTCCAGCTCGCGCTTTCTCCCAGCTTCCCTGAGGACCAGATCCAGAGGGCGAACTGCGGGCTCAGGAGGAGGCGCTGAGCTCTTGGCAGCCGTGCCCAGGTCCAGGGCCACCTCTTCAGCTTTCACCTCCTCAGAAAAGGACTCGTAGGTATACTCGTCCTCGTCAAGAGCGGGCCCAACCTCGCGGTCACGGGCTCCGGCCTCTCTAACGGGGCCTCCTCGGCCCCTCCAATCCAGCCGGCCCAACGGGGCTGGCACGGACCGGAGCAGCAACGGGGGGTTCCTGGCCGCTCCCGATTCAAAAGGTAGCGTATACCTTGCCGGCTCACTCAGGAGCCCTGGCCCCAGTTCCCCAAGGCGCTTTACGTGCCTGGTGGCGCTGAGTAAGATTTCCTCCGCCAAATCCCTTGCAGGCTGACAGGGCCACCTTCTCCCCAGCTCAAGCTGGGCCACCTCCAGTGCCCTGCACCCCAGGCACCAAGTGTCACCAGGGCTTCTATTACCCTGGCGACACTTATTGCATGCCATAGGCTTGAGCTCAAATGGGCTGCGCCTTCACATACAAAAAGCTTGTCGACACTCACACTAACATTCGTCACAAATATCAAGTATCCAACTGTTAGTGAGGGGGGGCAGTACCCAAGTTTAGGGTTTAGGGAGACCAAAACGACATCCATGAATGAGAATGAAGAATAATCAAACACACAAGAGGGCTGAGGATGAAATGAAAACTACAATTTCAGCAAGACCGCGGTCCTCTCATTCCCTGCTCTCACATTCCAGATCAAGGTGCGGGTTGTCGCCCACAAAATAGTCCTCCACCGTCGTGCAGTTCCTTTAGGCGAAGTTATGGTGATTCAGAAAGCTAGAATCATGTACCCAAGTGACACCACGAGTCCTCATTGCAGACCATAGAGAGATCACAAAGAGGATACCTGGTCACATTCACGGTGCCATTTTGCAGCCCATGAAGTTCCACACGATCTATGCCTGTCAAGAGGACGAAGATCAAGATGCCAAGCATGCTGATGAGGAGCAGCAGACTGCAAGGGAAGAGTGCTTCAGCATCGTCAGCGTCTGTTCTTCCCGACACCTAGAAGGACCTAGAGGTCTGGTCA